AGCTCCTGGCATTACTACTAGTAACAAGAAGCTATTAGTGTTCACCGGTTCACCGTTGTCCCACAGGACTCCCTGGCTCCCCTCTACCGACATCTCTGTCTAAACCTCCCACTATCATAAGTGAGGCCATGGTGTGTGCTATTAATTAGGGTTCAAAGGGGGATTTCCACCTCTCATGCTGAAAGACTTTCCAAACACAGCATCAAACCATCCTCAAATGTCTCCTTATCAGCAATCATCTCTGGCTGGCTCTCACATCATTCACATCTGCCGATGAAACGTGGTCCGGCCCATCCAAGCCCACCAAACCCGGGCATGGTTAATCGAAGCGTCCCTCACCTCGTTTTCACTGGAAAACCTGGACGAAAAGGAACGCCCCATCGCGACCCCCGGGTCATTGGGTCGCGACCAAGCGGCTCGCACCGAGAAGGCCAAGTTCATCTCATGCGGGGAGACCACACCACTGGAGTCCTGGTCGGGACCGAGACCGAGACCGATCGTGGGGGTCGAGGTTCTCGCGAACGACCTGTGATGCGATGCGAACAACCAACCTCGAAGCATCAATGAACTAGCTCTAGACCTGGCAAGTGCGAAGCCCATGTGTCAAGATCGATTGGAAAACCTGTACGGCCATGAAACCAACCACATTTCAATGTCAGTGTGTCCTTCTCACCTACCTAGCAACCTAAATTCTTGAGTCAAGTTCTTCTGCTTCTCTTTCCAGGGTCCCCACCCCCACCCCTTGCTGCAGCTTGTGCGGTGTCCAATTCAAGTCACTTGACAATGAAGCACACTCCGAACAAGACCAGGCCAAATGAGCCGACGGTAGCCACTAGGCACATCTCAAAACCTCAAGAAGGGGAAGCCTCCCCTGTTTCAGCTTGTTTTTTCAAACACACACATCACCTCCGGCTCCTGGCCCCCCCCCAAAGAAAATGCAATGCCCTGTCGGATTGGCTCCTCATCCACGAGCTTCCAGAGCAAGGGCTCCCACCTCATGGAAGTGGTTGAACAGCCGAATAGAACATGTAGTGACCCAGGAACAAGAGTAGCCCCACTATTTTGAGTTCTGAAAAAGTTAAAGCAGGACAAGACCCCATGAATCGTGACGCCTTTGGAAGGTACTGAGTCGGTATTTCTGTTATATGCTTGACTCCCTGCCCTATAAATCCACAATGATCCACATACCCTCTGGATCCCGGATCTTTTCATGTCGTGTAAGTGCATCCCCCTTGTGCAAGCAAAAGAATCAGGTATCGCCAGGAATCGCCTCAACCACCGTACAGTACCGTCCATTCTTCCGACGTCGATGGTTTTTGCTTCTTCGGCTTCCGAGGCACACGTGCATGTTCCGCAGCAGGTTGTTCCCTGCAAGGAGCTGCCTGGCGGGATGGTGGCTAGATGCGAAATCAACGTTCAACGAGCATCAAATACACAAAAAGCAGCAAACGCCCGTAACATCCCATAACAACATGCTGGCAATACAGAACAGGACTCAGAGTAGAACTGACACAAGCTCGCTGGTGCAAAACGGGTCCCTCTAGTGGTCCCTATACTGGGCTATGAACCAATGGATGCCTAGACTGGGCCTAGACACGAATCCGCAGCATGGCCCGACACATGGTTGTTTCTGCGATGCCATGCGCTCGGACGACTTCGCGCCGCAACGCCTCAATCCTTTCCGGAATTCTTCTCGGTCGATGGCGCCATCCGAATCCTCGTCGAGGACCTGGGGTGACGACGAAAGACGACGAAGCTGTCCGTTTAAATGGCCAAACAAGCGAAACGGTGGAGGCCATCTCTATTTGGTTGGAGGCCATTACTACTAGTAACAAGAAGCTACGAGTAGATCTAGTAGCAAGGATGTCAATTTACATCTCCTACGCGTAGCTCTCTGGTGCCGGCATGTCCGCACCGTGCCCCGCACAGTTGTTCGGAGGCAGCGGGGCACAGATCTGGTGGGACTGAAACTGAGAAACAATTGAGTAGCTGCTTGTCCTTGGCTAATTCAGTTCACATTTGGCACCCAACTATTTCAATCGAAAGGCAGCTGGTCGGTGCTTGCGGGACCGGGACGACTTCACAAACAAAGGCATTCTCTCCCAAGGCTGTGCAGGACATGGTGGTTCTCCAAGAAAATGGATCCAACGCTTCCAGACTCGTTCCCATGTCCCCAGCTCAAGAACAGCGATTTTGATCAGGTGGTAGAATGCATCTCGCTGCAGGGTCGCTTTTTGATTTTTCAGCCTCTAAATTGATCAAAATTTATAGACCTTTAAGTTAGTTATATCGGATCAATGATAATTAACGTGAGTTGCATAACTTCTGCACTCTTTAGAGGGTCACTTCAGCATGCCCCAACCGTGCAAAAGGGCTGCCTGAAAGACCGCGGAGGCACACCCAGTAGTGGTCGACCTCAAGTCAGAAAGGGATCAGCAGGCACTTCTCGTGATCAGCTTGAGCAAGTGATTTGAGAATTAGCCGAACCCCGCATTCTTCAAGAGTCAACACCGACAACAACATGTTTGAATCCCACATCTCCCCACAAATACACCCTGCCGGGCTGACAACTGCGCCTGCGTTTTTGCGTTCTTTAGGTCGTCAGCCTTCAACCGGTGGGTCATTCCAACGGATGTCCTCTCTGCGGCACAACGTGGCTCTGGGCACCCCGGGCAGCGCACGGATCACGCCTTGCGTCGATGCCCAGCACTGGGAGATCTCCTCATCGGTCCACTTAGCCATCTCGTCCGCCAGCGCCGCGCCTCGGCGAATCCACGGCACATGCTCCCGCGAAAAGAACACACGGAACGATGCTGCTTCAACTTGCACTGCTGGGAACAGCCTTTGGTCTTGGGATTTGTTTTTTCTATTCTTTTCTCCTGTCACCCACTGCTCTCCAGTGATCTTGGCTCTCCAACGCTCTCCTGAGTCGTTCCTTTCCAGTGCGTTTTTCCCGAAACGGTGCGGCATTAGTATTTCGGCCACAGTTCACGAGTCCATGTGAGTTTATGGGTCTCGGCATCAGCTGTGCCCTGAAAAAAACAGGGGCACCATGGAACCAATCCTTTGTTTGGCAAAGTATGGGATGCTCTCCCAAAAGGTCCAAAAATTCCATGCATGTCGCTGCATGCCGGTCAGCCATCGGAGATGTGACAGATTTCTCCGTTGTCGCTACAAAAGGGTGGAGCCTGATGAGGCTAGCGGCTAGCCAATATCGATGTGCAAAACCGGTTGTGCCACATGAATGAAGGGAGGCATCGTGATTGCAGCATGTCCCCCAAATCCACCCCACAATGGCAGGCAAGCCGCCCGTTGCGTTATTCTCTCTCTGTCCTTGGAAGGCTCAGCCACCGCACGCGAACTCGGGTCTTCCCCAAACCGTCAATGGTCTCCAACAATGTCACATTGAAGAAACGAGGCATGTTCTCGAAGTAAGTGTTTCTCACTGGTGAAGACATCCTACAAAGAAAATCCAAGGGCTCCATAAGCCATGCCGGAACGACTATGTTTTGGGGCCGGCCTTGGGGCCGTGAACCTCTGCATCGTATGCTGAAAAAGTGATGCAAACACAAGATCCTGAAAGAAGGAAAATGGATGTGGTCAGAAGCTAGGGAAACTCTGGCTCCTTGGCCGGCTACTTCTCCCACATCGGTGGGATCGCAACCAACAGGGGCATTGCGCGGGTGGCTAGCCAACAACCTGATCGACATACTGCTGTCACCTCCCCAATGCATTGTCGTGTTCACAACAAATGAAGGTTCGTAACCATCCTGCAGTAGATCCCATTCTTGGGGCAAAGCCAACTCCTGGAAACCCGCAGATTGACAATGGCCACCTGATTTTCGAGCATCTTCCTTTGCATGGTGGTCTTCGGTCTTACTGCCGATGGCCTGCAAAAATAACATATACATATAGAGTAAAGTGCAGAAATGTGCTTTTTTCACCGCCAATCATGAGGGCAAATCAGTTGCTGAATTGGTTGCCCACTTGCCAGGGCAGGTTGTCTGCCATTCAGTAGTCCAACTGTTTCTATGTTCAACCGCTGCAGTAGGCAAACGTTGAGAATTCAGCTTGGGTGTTCACGTCCCAACCCAACAAACAAAAGTATCACACTGAAGCAACGGATTCATCACGAGTTTGACCGCCCAACTGGTCCATGCACCATGTCCAATTCCACTGTCATGGAAGATTCTAGACAAGCATTCCGTTTCTCTATATAGACTCTAGAATCGCCTTGCCACTGGGGCTTTTTAATGTTTCACTCATCTCTGAGACTTCCCTGAGCGGATCTGCCCAAATCCTGCCCAGGCACGCTCCGCCCGCGCGGCGGCGAGGTCAGTCCTGAAAACCCCCGGCTTGTGGGTATGGACCCTGGACTCATCGCTTTTAGATCTTTAAGGTCCAAACAATGATTTTAAAAAGTACCTTAAAGGGAGACGTCTTGCCCGGGAGTTGTGTTTCTGATTCTGGGGGATGCTTGGCTACTGAAAAAAAAGCGTGGATGAAGTCCAGTGCTGCAACTCATGTGCCGCATACCCACTGCAATGATCCACAAAATATCCTGCAGACTTGATCTCCTGCACCATCCAGGAGGACCGAACAACCCAAACTTTCTGCCAATCACAGTTCCACCAACACTCACCGGCCCGAGAATCTTTGAGATTTGGGGCTCGGGCACAGGTTTCCTACCGTGGATGAGCACGCATACCATGAATAGAGACCAAAAAAGAAGATCTTCATAGCAACCTACCGCGCTGCGCCAGAACCTGCATTGAATAGGGACAAGGACAAACAGCTGTTCATTCCTGATCTTCATCCAAACTACTCTGCAAAGAAGAATCAGATTGAAATACATTCTCCTTGACCCTTTGATATGTATATTTTGATCGGTTTCTTGCAGCCCAGCAGCTCAAAGCTGCTGTGCATCGACATCGAGGAGGTGACTAAAGACTCCCCGGTCATGAAGCGCAGCACGCAGCTCACGAACTCCTGCTGCGCTGCAGGACGAGACGTGCTGTTTGCAAAGGAAGTTGCGGGGAACTGGGATGACTTGCTCACCATAATTCCAGCGGCGCTTGGGTCCCATGGCCAGCGCAGCCGAGGGTGATTCTTGGGACAGTGGATTCCAAGGACCAAATGGATGCATCTTCGTTGCAAGAACCATCGGCTGGAATTGACCGAAGGCACCAGGAAATGACAACTCCAATGGCTGCGCTTTCAGCGGCTCTTTTTCACATAGCAATCTCATCCCAATGGTATGGCTCAAATGAAGCGTAGGCAACGACCTGTGTGCGTGCTCTTCATTCAAGGTCTTTTATACCTCGTGCACGCCACGGTCTTCTTAAGCTGCACCAGGAGTCTTTGTCCCGAAACGCCATTGATCAATCCTTCGGATGGCCAATGGTTTGGCTTGCCCTTGAGAACTACAACGCCTTCACTGAGCAAGATTCGACCAATTCCTCTTTTCAATTAAATTGTCCTATCAGGTCCTTCCATCATATCTGCTTGGTCCTATCTCGATCTGTTAAATCGTTTTCACCTCTTACCACTCGGCCGGGCCAGGCGTTTGGGCAGGGGCCGGGGCCTCAGGAGTTCAGGATCGATTGGGAAAGTCCGGCGGACCAGCTGAAGAATCGTGAGAGGAAACCTGGATGTTCCTCGCCCTCGGCCTCCTCACGAAGTCGTGTGCTGCGCTGTCTGACCGGAATCAAAGGAGATCAACCCACAAACTTCACGAACCACTGTTCTCTTTACGGTCCAACCGTCCAGCCAAATAGAATGCACCAAGAAACGATGTCGGCCCATATATGCATGATCGGCACCGGGTGCTTTGGCACCGTCTGCTGTATATGATTGGCTGCATCAAAGGTATTGACTATGTTGCTCAATTCTCTGCGTTTAACCTGCAATCACATTCAAACATATTCTAGATGCCCCATGGCTGCAGGTACCTACCCCTCCCAAATGGGCCAACCCTTGTGGCACGTTTCATACTGCATGGTGTGCTACGGCGCAAACCCCTCCCGCCTCCGCCAGCTCTTCGGCCTCTATGGGCCGGTCGCCACAGGGACACACGTAGATCCGGTTGAAGCTTCCACTGAACTCCTGGCCGCCGGACCGACCGGTGGCGGCGGAAGCCGGCGGAAACACCCGGTTCGACGAAACCGAGGAAACCTCGAAGGACATGAAGAAGCTGCCATTGTTCTTTCGGCCGACCTCCAGAATGGGCGTGCTGGCAGTCACTTGCAGGTCTCTTCGTCGTGCTTGGTGACTTACTTCCCTGTAGCCCTCTGAGGGTAACGGGAACTAACAGCGACGTGACATGTTCTGCATGTTTACATCGAGATTTTTGTTTTGCATTATGTACATGTCTTGAAATTCATTGCCCAACGATCCAATGTTGCTTGTTCTTCTGCTGGCCTCCTGGTGCCTATGTGGGCTGTAGGATCTGTAGGTGAGTCATATGCCCTTTTCTGCGTAATTGATACTGACTCATTGAGGCTCTGGGATGCTCCGGTAGTGTCACAGTCACTATGGGATAGCAATATGATACCATCATTATGTTAAACTGCATCCATCATACCAGTGGGCAAGATTGTTTGATTGATCTGCCTCGAGTCGCTGCTGCAGCCGCGGATTCTCTTGCCACCTCCGCGAAGCAACGCCTTTCTTCACATGGTCCTCAGCTCCAGTTGTGGGATTTGGGGGGCCACCCGGGTAGGACCGGACCCTTTATATAGATGGTCCTACTGCGTCCTACTCAACAAATCTCGCGGAAGTCAGTCGTGAATCTGTTTGGGTGTGAAAACACCCATGTCGACGGGTGCATGTTCTTCCTCTCGGAATGATACGACTTATAGTATTTGTTCTGGAAGAATGTTTGTGAACAATGAGGAAGAAACGGCCAGTTCCACAGACAGTCTGATGAATCACATGCTTGCATGCTTGATTTGATTTCACGAAGCTGTGCTCATATGTGCTCATCATCTACTACCCGAATCGAACCCAAAACAATAGCTGCAAAAATGCAGTGAGTTAGGTCTATTTGTGGGAAATGGACGGGACAATCAAGGAAGGGATTTGGAAACTTCCATGTCAGACATTCATAAATGATTGAAGTGCTGCTGAACCTTCTTCCAATATCTTCCAGTTGCTGTCCCTCTTCTGGAAGTTTTCGGTTCAACCTATCCCAGGCATTCAGCCCACATTGCCGACCGCCCAGTGAGCTCAGGGGCGAAATCGGCCCAGTCGCCCTTCCACTCACCTGCTCGAGTGAAAGTTCTGGAAGATCTTTCACGTCAATGAGGATCATTGAGGATCCAACAAACAGCCTACTGTCTCCAGACTCTAGCACTACTTGTAAGCAGAAATTAGTTATTATATATATAGAGTGTATAAGAGAGCAAGGGTCCCAGTGAATCCAACCGGTTCCTCGCCAAGGTTGTGGGGGCAAACGTGTTGTTTGAATGCTAAGCATTATATAACAAAAAACACGACTTGGACCGATCACGGGAAAAGACATGAACATACGAAGCATGTGGTTGTTCAGGACCTGCACATCTACCATGTGCACCTCTAGTGACACCGCAGTTTCATACGGGCTCAGCATCCACGTCGATGTGTTTCTGCAAAGGCCCCTTGAAGAGACAAACTCACAGGTGTGCGATCTTTGACATAAATCTGAACATTGTACGGCGAAACCACCTGCATCAAAACAAATTACTTGTATCTGTACCCTTCAGAGATTCTGCACATTGCTCGAGTAACTGAGAAACCAGAAATAGAACCTCAGAATCTTGTGTCTATAATTCCTTATGGCTGAACATGGCCGAAGCTGGAACTATTCTGGCATAAACAATTGAGTCGGCTGCCCAAACATGTCCAAACCAAAACCCTCTCCGACCAGTGGTAGCATCTGGTCAGTTTGAAACGATGGTAATCACACCTACCATTCTCACTCAAGTCACTTCAGGAGACAAAGCGTGTGGTCATGCTGGTCTGCCGGATGTAGCGGTCGATTGCGGACGTTTCATTCTGTGGTTTGACAGTCGCGCTTGACCCATGCATGACAGTTGCCAGGCTGCCATGCTGATGGAGTACGGTTGTTCGGACAGCCTTCGAAATATGCCCTGCCTGTGCCCCAAGGGTTCCGACATTGCACCAACTTCACGGGGTCTCCATTGTCCAAGGTCTCCTTTTCGCGGGCTTGCAACAAAGTGGATCATACCGCAAAGGAGGAATTGATCAAGAATTGATAAACATGGACATGTCCATCACAGTGACAGAAAGTGGCGCGACCCGAGGTACACAGTGGTGTGTCAGCTTGTGTTGCATACTGGTGGCCTCGCTTGCAACCTAAAGCAAGCCTCCACTCCAACAAACATCACTCGATCGCACAATGGTAATGCGCCATCCCACACGAAACACCCGTTGTCGTCGTTGCCTGCAAAATCAGGTGCCACCTGCGAACACAAACATCAACAACTATCATGCAGAATACACTCCAAAAATTAACATGGACCCTGAGAATGGCACTCTCGAAGGCGGTTTTCCTCTAGCTGCACCACTGGTTTTCAGGGTCTATGTTAGTTTGCAGTGGGGTGCCTACGAAGAGGATCTTCGTATGATGAACATCCAGCGAGCTGGCCGACTTGTTTTCAGAGTATAGGTGGCACGATATCCCCCGCATGGTGGTGGTCTATATGGAATCCAATCGAGGGGTGAAAGAAGGACATTGGGAATATCTCCCTGTTCAGGATCGCACGCACACCATTCAAAACTTGAACTGGCTTGTCAGCGAACATGGCGTCTTCGAACTCTTCCGTCAGCTCTAAACGTCAGCCCCCGCAGCCTCAAGCACTTGAAGCAAAGCATAGGCGTGGTTGCAAACCAAGCCATTCGGTAACCTTGGATCGGAGGCTCCAAGGTGCCAAGTATTATGAGCTCCTCGCATTGGTTCTTGAATGTGCAGCAATCTGAGTCCATGCTTTCAAGAGGTTGAAAATTGATTGACCCCGGGTTCGAAGGCAAATGGGTCGAATGCCAATCAAAATGCATGCCACAAACAAAAGTGTTTGTCAAGAAGTTATAATATTGTCAAAAATTCATGATGCTTTAAGTTATGTTCATCCTGAGGTTGGAGCCATGATTTTTGCACAAACCCATTATTATCCTTCTGCAGCTCCCCAAAATGCCAACATCAATCAAGCAGCTTTGCCTCGACCGACTTGTCGTGAGCATAGATACGGCAGGATAGAACATGCTTGTCAATTAGCCGGTCCTGTCAGGCCGACTCCCTTTTTGTCAATTTTGCCCGCAAGGTCCCGTCCGTTTCCGCATAACACATAGAAAACGCACCCCAAATCATCGGCGATCCCTGTTTTCATGAAACTTCCGATCGCACTTTTGTTCATGCCATGATATTAAGGACAATGTTGTGAGATCGATGACAATGTTGTGAAGCCGATGGCAAGACTGTTGTGCAATCAGTGACGCTTTTCTCACACTGATGACTTCGTCAACACCCCATGCCTCTCACCTACCCCCGACTGTGTAGACAAATGGCCACGCGATGACACTGCTGCGAAACTGATGATTTCGATGACCCAATTCCGGTTTGGTGACAGCATAGGCGATATGCCACCGAAAACGCCAGGCAACCCATCAATCGCGGGCAAAGTGTCTACCTGCGGCCCCTATATGAGGAGATGTACAAGCAGCCTGGGACAGGGGGCTATATATATACATGCATGTATATCAACAGTACTACGTACTATAAACAGTCCGAACAAGTCTAAATTATAAGACCGATACAAGTCGAGAATAACAAACGAACCGCCAGGTGTCGCCGGAGCCTGCGGCGACACGCACACACACAACTAGCCCCAAAGGTGCGCGCCTTGAGAATGCGAAAAAGTTTGTCCTCATCGAAGGGGTAGCCGCTGGTCCATCTCCTAAAATTCAGCTGGCGATAGGTATGGTCAAGCTTTTAATATACACGCTCAGAGGGGCCCGAAGGCCAGCATGAATCCTAGTAGACTCCCAAAGCATCTGCGTCGGCGGGGAGCCTCTGGTGAATGGAGCCGAGTCCCAGAAATCGGTTTCCGAATCGAACCCAGACTCTTCACAGTACTTCCACTTGATCTAAATATGCATTAATAATCCGTTCCGTTCTGATCGTTGTATGCCAGTCTGGTTGGATCTTGGCTCAGCGAGGTCAAATAATTAGAACCAAATTCCTGACCTCTACGCTGCACTAGGGCGCACTGGGGGATACTGCCTTTCCCCAAAAGCCAGTTTCTCTGTCCCAGCGTCCAGCGCATGCCATGCGGGCTGTGTGCATGGATCGTTGATGGATCCGAGCGACACTTGTTCCAGCCGCCCCTGAGAGACGCTGTCACGGGCATGATTACAACATCACCTCCCACTGGGACCTGTCAACGCCTAATGGGAGAACATCCAGCGTATCCATGCCTATGGTCTATGCACTAGGAGCCTTGTGGGAACTCGACACACACACACACACCCACACGCACACGCACACGCACCCACACTCTGACATTGGTTTTCAATGAACTCAGTTCCCACGTTGAGAAGGAAGGTGAAGGAACGGAAAGGTGCATGAGTCCGCAGAAACCGTATTGTTGAACAATGTTGGCAGCTGCGCTCGAAAACGATCTGACACTCAAAGTTGGCTGCAAAGCGGCGCAAGGTGGCGGTGAGTTTGTGGGAGGTATCATGAAGAACCATGAAACAAACCGTGGAGAAGTGGGGTGACAGCGTGTGAAGAACTTCGCAGGTACGTTCGGATGATCAGTCCGAATATCCCACTCTGTGACCTAGCTTCGTTGAACTGGGTCAGTCACAGAGTGCCCAGTTCCCCTGCTGAGGTTGGGTGGAAACGAGGTGGTGGTAGAGAGCCCTTCGTCCAGGGGTGGACACACACAAGTCGCCGGCTTCGGCGCTTTTTTCAAAAAACGGTGGCAGGCGTGGTGGTTGTGTCCTTTTTGGACATAGAGCCTCACTAGCTCGGCGGCAGCAGCTTCAGCGCTGGAGGGTGGAAATGTGTATTTTCGAATGGTGTGAAGTCTGGGTTGGAGGCCTGATAGAGCCACGCGCTGGCTCCCGGCGGTGGTGGAATCCCTGATTTTCCAGGGTTGGGAAGGTTGCATGTAGGTGATGGTGCGTTGTTGGAGGTCAATGTTGAAACCCAGGAGGTGGAAGTCGTCCACAGGCTCGAGTTCCACTGGGTCGCCGAAGAAGTTGTGGTGGATGAGGGTTTGGATGGCGGGATGGTGTAGGAAATGTTCATTGTGAACAATGAAGCGGTTGTCCACATATCGGTAGTAGGTGAAATGTAGGCTTGTGTGCTGCAGGAGGTTGTTGTGGATCTGGTGCCAGGAGTGTTCGATGAGTGTAATGGCTACATTGCAGAGGGCTGGAGAGAGTTGGGAGCCAATCCCAGCTCCTCGGATTTGCTTGTAGGTGTTGTTGCAAGCCCGGAAAATGCAAGTGTTGAGTGCAAAAGCCACGATGGTGGTGATGTCGGATGTCTGAATGGTGCGTTGTGTGGGATGCTTGCGGTGGTAGCTGTGGAAGTGGTGCCAGAGTTGTGGAATGGACAGTTGTCCTGGGTGTTGAGGGTAAAGGTGTTGAAGGATAATGTCGAGGGCGCGGCTGGTGATGCGGAGAAGGTTGCCGCTGAGTGAGTGGAAATAGGAAATAATGGTGCGGCCTTTTTGCCACTGCTTCTTCTCTTTTAGGTGGACCACACCGTAGGGGATACTGAAATCCTTGCGGAAACCCCATTTGTAGCGGGTGCGTAAGCTGGGTGGGACGGTGGTTTGGAGATGGTCGTGGATGTTGGCGATGGTGAGGTAGGGAAGTGGCTCGAAAAGTTCGGGGGATTGCCAGGTGTTCAAGGCGCCAGTGAAGTATTGGCGGGGGCAGAACAGTCGCAGTTGTTGAAGCTCATGATCGGCATGGTGAAGCACTGTGTTTTGGCCGAGGTATTCTTGGAGCTGGCGAAGCAGGCGCGCTGTGAATCGTGGTTCTTGTTTAAGGTGTGTAGTGTGAAGGCGCCATTGGTGTGAGGAACGGGTGTAAGTGCTCCACGAGGGAGGGCGGTAACCCCTGCATCTTGAGCCACTTCGTGTAAGCTGTCTGGAAAGTGAGGAAGTAACGGGCTTTGCTTGGATAGTAGGTGCTGTTCATGTTGGCGTTGAGAAAGATGCTGAGGTGTGTGGGGGGGTGAAGTTGATCAAGTGTGAGGATGTAGTGGCCATTGATGGTGGGTGTATCAGGATCCTGCAGTAGGGTTCGAAGATGGGGGCATGCGCAGGGGAGGTCCGCTGGATCTGGGGGGAATGGAGGGTGTCCTCCCAGGCGCGGTGATTGTGTAGTTGGGATCGTAGAGTTTTGTGTGCAGCTTCACGGAGGCGGTGTGAAGGGAGGTGCAGGGGGATAGCAAGGTGCTTGTGGTGTTGTATAGTGGTACGGAGCCACTGTTGGCAATGCTTGGTGAAGTCGTCGTGGGCCAGAAAAGGCACTGTTAATGGGATGTTGGGTTTGGGTGGTGTGAGGTTGCGGTAGAGGAGGGCTTTATTGATGATGTGGAGAGCTCGACTGCGACCAGGTTCTTCAAGATTGGCGGCCATGCGCCGGATGGCGTAGACTTCAAGATCAGTGTGTCGGCCACTGCGCAGTTGTTTGGCTGCTTCGAAGGAGGCTGCTGTATGTTTGGTAAGGTTGCGGAGGAGCGTAAGAGCGTGATGCTTGGTAGAGGTGTAAAGGTGTGGTTCTCTGAGGGTGTGTTGGCGTTGACGAAGGCGTCTGAAGAGTCGTTTGTGAGTGGCTAATCTGGAGTAAAAATGAGCTCGATGCTTTGTGAACTGCCATCCTTGAGCTTTGAGTTTGAGGTGGTGTGAGATGAAAGGCCAGTTGAGGGTAGGCATCCAGTTGGCGATGTAGTGGTGTTCCTGGATCCAGGCTTGGTCGTAGGTGTCGTGGGATGTGAGTTGGATGGTGGTGTAGTGGTGGATATTGTTGTGGGAATGCCAGTAGCGTAGGGAAAGCTCAGCGGAAATAGGGACGTTGTTCTGTAGTTGTTTGAGTTTGGCCATGCTGGTGGTAGCAGCGTTGGGGTGGGTCAGAGTTGAAGTGGAGCTTGATGTAAACCGAGTTGGATGAGAGGAAGTTGTGGTAGTGGTAAGTGTGGGGTAGGATGTGGAGCTGGCGAAGACGATTGCGCCACTGTTGTGAGCGATGGGTGTTGGAGGGATATGCAAAGAGTAAGGTGATGTGGATAAGACCGGTGGCAAAAATGGCTTCGGCGCGGTCGATGTATTGAGTGTGGTGGATCCAAAATGGAAAGTGCTCGGTGTAAGTGGAACAGGTGTTGTAAGGTTGTGTGGCTGGGTTGCTGCTGGCTGAGGACAGCGAGTCAGCAGCCGATGGCTGCCCCCACACTCACCAGGTGTTGCAAGCTACGAATGGGGAGGCGATTGACCCGGTTGAGGGGGAGACCGTAACGTGCGGCGGCCTCTTTCAACTGCTGGGTGGTGACTTTGCTGGTTTGTAGCAAGCGCAAAACTTCGTTAGCTGCTTCCTGGATGGTGGGGTCGAAGGTGGTGACCCAGTGTTGGATGTCAGTGTGGTTCCAGCTGTCTGGAATGTCATCCTTCAAAGCTGGGTGTGGAGGTTGCAGGACGTCGGAAAGCGCAGGTGGCTTGTGTGGTGGAGTGGGTGGACGTGAGGGGGCTGCCGGGGCGGAGGGGTGGCTGGTGCTCTTCACTGGAGTGAGGGGTTCGCCCAGGCTGTGGAGCTTCTGTTTTGCGCGAGCGAGCTCATCGGTGGTGTTCTCAAGAGCTCGTAGCGCGGTGCCCTCTGCTGGTGCCGGTGAGTGGGATTGGAGTTGTTGGATGAGTAGGTTGATCAGGGGGGCGTGGAAAGCCCGGGCCTGTGTTGTCTTACTGGGGATGTCGGTTCCTTGTTTGGTGTGGAGGGTCTCGGCGACGCCGTCCAAGTCGAGGCGTTTCTCGCGGAGCTCTTGGAGAAGGTGGGTAACGAAAACAGACTCCGCAATATTTCTGGTGGCAATAAAGCCCGTATATTTTCCGTTGCTAAGAGTGCGGGCTGTGAATTCGGCCGTACCATGGTACGCCAATTGCCAGGGGAAGATGTCGAAGGTTGGAAGCCCTGCCACCCCTGCTTTGCGAGACCATTGTGTAGGTTGGATTGCGCGGTGGAGCTGGTGGCCGTGGAGTGTGTTGGAATCCCAATGGTGATCGGTTTGGTTCCAAGAGTCTTGGGGTGGCGGAGTGGGAGAAGGGATGTGAGGTGGCGGTGGAGCAGGCGCAGTGCCGGCGCGGGCAGCTGGTGCTGGTGGTGGGCTGTGTTTGTAGGTCGATGGCGGTGGAGTGACTGGGTCGGCTGTGGGTAGTGGTGGTGGCGGTGGAGGTGGGAACTCCGGCTGTGACGGTGGAGCCTGTTGTGGCGGTGTGTGCTGCGGTGGCGTCGTGTATGGTGATGTCGTGTATGGGTGAGCGTGGTGGGCCTGATGCGTGCGGAGTGCGTGAGTGAGTGGGCCGTAAGTGCCAGTAGGGTTGTAGGTGTGGTGGGTTGCAGGAGGGGGAGAAACAGTGGTGTCTGGGTTAGTAAGCTGCTGATGTTGCTGCTGCTGGAGCAAATAGTGGTTCCAGTAATATTGCTGCCATTGTGCGTCCATGATGGCCGTTCGAAGGTGTCAACTGGAACGTTGATGAAGAGGATCGCGGGTTGTTGGCTTGAGCACGCTGAAAGGGCGGAGGGTGGGAAGGGTCAAGTAAAGCATACAGGGTGGCGGTCAGTGTAAAATCACAGTAATTGAAAGGTGTCATGCTGTTATGGTCAAGTCAATCAAAAGACACAAGCAAAAGAAATAGAACTCTAGTAGTGCAGAGTCAAGCAAGTACACTGGGAAACGTTCGCTTCAACTGTCAGTAAAAGTGGGACAGCTGAATTGATCAAAGTATGACTGATGTCGATCAAAACGGTCATCAGCCCGAGGCGCAATCTGTTTTTTCGTTGTGCAGGGTGAAACCGTTTTTTTCTCTGAGGCCTCATTGGGGGTGGCGAGCATCCGAAGATGAAAGTATGAAGATGGATAAAGTCATGGAAACGGAAAAAGGATCCCCCATACTTGTGCCTAGGGGGTAGCAATTTGCATTATATAAAGGGATTGCTGCTATAAAATGAGTAGGCATGATTCAGCAATGGTTTTTCTCTATAGAATGAAAAGCGCAGTGTTTTATAAAATGCCTCCATCGACATGGATTGGTTGCAGATAGAATGTAGCTAACCGACGTGTTTTTTATGAAATGAGCTTAGGTCTGATCTGGAAGGAC